GGCGATGGCATTGAGGCGCTCCAAGTCCTCCTCGCGAATGATGGGACGCTGCATTTGGGCCACCTCCGGCTCCACCACATAGTCCTTATCCTTGCGTCCGCCTCCGACGCCGCCGCCTCCGTTAGCCTGCTGCTGCTGGGATTGTGGTGGAGTGGGTGATCCTCCAATGCCCAGTCCGGATTGCGGGGGTGAGGAGGAGGTCGGTGGACGTTTGGGAATGACAGTGGCCGCCCGGAAGCCGCCACTGCCTACCACCGCTGGAGAGGCGGAACGAGCACCGAGGATGCCGTTCTGGTAGGGTGCGCTGGGCAGGGCACCAGAGTCCAAGGATCCGCCGGCCAAGATGCTGGCCGCCGTCGCTCCGGTGGCGGGCAACGGAGCACCGCTGCGCATGAACGAGGGCATCAGCGAGAGAATGGGCAGGGGCACAGCTCCGCCCGAACCTCCTCCTGCCCCACCATTACCGCCCATCTGGTGGTGGACCGGGCCCTGTAGGTTGAGACCCTGGTCCGCTGCCGCAGCAGCTGCCACCTTGGCCGCCTTCTCCTGCTGCTGCAGCCAGGCGGCCGTGTCGTTCTGCGGACGAAGGCTGAGCTCGCCAAGCTCCAAGGACCCGCCGCCGACGTCGTCGCTGCCATCTCTGTAGTCGCGATGCGAGTGGTGTCCATACTGGCGCCCGTGGCCATGGTGGTAGTCCCGATGGTGCTGTTGCTGCTGGTGGTGGTGCTGTTGATGCTGCTGGTGGTGCTGCTGATGCTGGTGGTGGTTTTGGTGGCCGGCATGGTGCGCCTGATTCTGATAGTGGCTCTTGCCCGCTCCAGCACCGGATCCAACACCCGTTCCCGAACCGCCGCCGGCGCCGCTGCCAACTGTGCCGTCCAGCGTGGGGAACTCGTACTGGAATTGCGGACTCTGGTAATGGGGAACAACTTGCTGCTGCTGGCGGCCAAAGTGCTGACCGCCCGAGCCACGCTCGTGTCCTGTGGTGATTGCAGACCATGTCTTGGGCGAGTTGACTGAGTGTCCGCCCGATCCGGATCCTTGGCCTCCTCCTCCTCCTACTCCTGACGAGCCGCCGCCGCCCGATCCACCTGCACCTCCGCCGCCGGAGCTACCAACGGAGTTGTTGATTAATTTAAAGTTCTTGTTGCCGCCGCCTGAGATGCCGGCGTTGTTGTTGCTGCTGCTGTTGTTGCTATTGACGAACTTTCCAGCGTTCAGGCCGAGACCGATGTTGTTGTTGTGGTGGTGCTGGCTGTGAGCTTGCTGCTGGGTATGATGGCCGCCAGCAGATGACGATGGAGCTCCTCCTCCGCCTGATCCCGCTCCGCCTCCTGCTCCTGAACTTCCGCTGTGGGCAGTGGTGTTGTTGTGGCTAGTGTTGGTTCCTGCCGCGCCTGATCCCGCTGACCCGCCTGCGCCCGATCCTCCAGATGTGGCTCCTGCAGATAGTTATTTATCAGTTAGTTATACATCTTATATCGATCTACTTGATAGAGGAACACCCACCTTCGACTGAGACTAGGAGATTGTTGTTGCTGCTGGTGTGGGTCTCGGCCTTCAGGGATGGCAGATTGGCTGGTGGTCGCCGAGCGGACGGCACTTTGCCCAAGATTTGCATTCCATGTTTACGTGGCACTTGATTCTTTTGTGCAGATGGTTCACTCGACTCGCCCTGTGTGAAAAAAATCAAGATAAATTAGCTTAGGATCGTTTTAGATGAATATCTAGAGGCTCTACTTACGCGGCTATTCTTGTACATGCGATTTATATCCAACGCTGTGAATTTGGGCTTGGCATTTCGCTCTCCCCTACTTCCCCCCAGTGTACTCATGCTGCCAATAGATCCTCATTAGCGTTAGCTTCCTTCACGCCGCCGCCGCGCTCCTCGTCTTCCCGCTGCGCTGGAGGATGGGCTAGGATGTGGCTGTGGCTCTGGATAAGAACGAGGATAAGGTGCTGGGATCACCGCTTTTGGGCCGAAGCTCCTTGTTTCAGTCTTTCAAGTAGGCTGTAAAAAAGAACAGATAGCGATAAAATTGAGTACAAAGTGGGTTTTGTTTGGTGTTTTGGTAAGCTTGGCTTTGGGAACTCCTTTATTTAGCCACCCCCGGCCGATCTGCACCACTAATGGGACCAGTGGTGTATCTGAAACACAATGTAAAGGGGACTTGAACTTTATTGGGAATTGAAATAACTTATTGCGACCACGTTTATTTTGGAATATTCTCTCTTGTAACTTTTACTTAAGTTATTAAAACCATGAGTTTTACAAAAATGTATTCTAAAGTTAGCGTTTCCTCGGAAATACTTCAAAAAATTACAAGTTCTGGAAAACCAAATGATTTGAGGGGAGGTTTTCTAAACTAATCAGTCGAAAATTCTTCTGATATTCGTAGACTCGACTTAAGTTCCAATTTTCTCCAAATTACTGACCAAAATTACAAGTTCTGAAAAACCGAATGATTTCCAAGAATTTTTTTCCAACAGTTTAAAAATTCTTTGTAAGTCTCTGGGACACCGCCTGATTTTGCTAAATAGTAAAATTAACCCTTTCAATTTGAGCAACTGTTGAAATAATCAATTGGGATTTTGTTGATATTGCGTTTATTACGATAGTAATAGGGGATAGTTATCCCCAGTGACCCCCCTCGATCCACCCATGGGTGCACCAATGTTTGGTGTGAGCAGGATAGCCAGTGGCACTCGGCACACGCAACTGAGAGGCTGCCTTAGGTGGGTAGCAGTGGGAGCGAGACGGCTAGAGGAGTCTGCCAGCACACACACAAACACCAATAGACCAGCGGCAGAAGCGGCAACGCATTGAAAGAATTTTTGCGGTGGCGTCTTGTAATAATTGTTGGGAGGGGGCGTGGAGGGGAGGACGAACAATGGCTGACAACTGCAGCAGCAGCCACAACAACAAACACAACAGAAATGGGGACAGTAAAATCCTCCCAACAACAATACCCGGTGCAGGGCATTTAAAATGTAAGCAATTTGCCTGATGCAAGTGTGAGGATACGAGACAATCTCTAAACGCTTGGCAACAATTCTTTTTTCTTCTCCTTTTTGTTGTAATAACAACCATTCACAAGAACAACGCACACTAACACAGGCACTGGTGCACACACACACACACACACATATGTATAGGCACAGAGAGCGAGAGGCTTTGATAGTTATTATTTAATCGACGAATGCAATTTTCTTTTTTGTCTTACAGCCAAGTCCTTTTATTTATGTTTGCATGTGTATGTATGTATGTGCAGTGGCTGGCAGAAGCAAACAAAGAGAAGAGAAAAGTGAAATATACCGTTTAAACACCACACACGCACACAGCGACACACTCGGGGAGTTTCGTTTTTGTTAGGCAGCGATGATAAACTGAATGGAAAACGCTCAAATTGGTTTACTTTGAATGTTTCGCGGTTTGCTGGCACACTCGGCCGCCTGTCTAATGGATATTCGACTGCGGTTGACCGTTTTATTTCGCATAAATTGCTAACTTTTGATTCTGCTTTCCACCGTCCGACGTAAAGTTTGCCGCTGCTTCTTCTTCGTCGTCGTGTTCTTCCTCTTCCACTTCGCACTTTTCGCATGTATTGCGTGCGTGTGAGTGGTGTGGAGCACGGCGTTGCCACCGGTTCTTGGAAATCTAGCCAGACCGGTGCGGGAATTAATGCAGGGGTGGCAGGCCAGAAAACACCTGGCAATTATTAAACAATTAGAGGGCCCTTCGGTCGCTTGTTGTTTGCTGATTGAACACAATTTGACGCAAACACTCTGCCTATGTGGACGATTAAAAGGAAAACGGAAAACGAAAATCTGCCGCCGACAAATGCAACGCTGTTTGCCGGACAGAGCAGGACGACAGGACGAGCTGCGCTCTGTTCGCTCCCACTCACACACAGCTCGCTTTTTTAACAAAGTCAGCGAAAGTATTTTCCATTTAGAGTAGATTTCTAGGGAAACCCGTCGAGAAATGGGGCTCGGCCCTGTGGAAATAAGCACAATTTGCAATCCCCTGTTGGCCAAAATCTCGATTCCGGCCTGAGATTCGGCCAGCGGCCAGAGCGAGAACGAGCATGAGAGAACATATAGCTTACCCTTTCGCACGCAGAGCACACACCGCAAACACAGTTCGTTGCTCCTGGCTTCTTTCTTTCCGTTGCTTATTTCCTTTTTTTGCACTCTTTCTGGCGCTTACTCAGCGCCGCTTGCGAAAACGCGGAACGAAAACAAAAAGAGAGCGCAATGGGATGTAGATGATGTGTTGTTGTTGTTAATGAGCAGTCGCCTTTGTTCGACAGAATCTTCGATTTGGTTGAATTTCGATTGCGATTTTCGATTTGGTTGCGATTTTCGCCTATGTTGCGCTGGCTTTGTCAGCGCTCTCGCTCGCACTCACTGGCACTCGCCTCGCACTCGCAACTCTCACCGCTCTCCCTCTCCGCTCACTCGCGCCGTCTCTCTCGCGCGCTGTCGCTTTTTGCAAGTGTAGATGGAAAATGGTATCGAATGAGATGGAGATGAGGAGGCCCCAAGTGCTCGGTTCCGATTCTGAAACCCGTTTGAATCACTTTTCCCACGGGTTTTTGCTGCAGTTACGCACACACGCACACGCGCCGACTGGGCTGATTGGCAATTGGGTTTTAATTACTTGCGTTGCGTTCTTTTCACGTAATACGTAATTGTCATTAGTTTTAAATCGTATGTATTATTTTTTTGCCATTTTACGGCCACCGTTGCCAGATGTGAGTGGGTGAGCCGCGGTGCTGCCCAATCGCGCGCAGATGCCTATCGTTATCGATAGGTCTGGCTGTCAAGATAGCAGGTTTTCTCTATTTTATATTAATATTTATTTAAATGAAGCGGCCGTTATTCTCTAATTAAAAGCTTTATAAAAAACGTTTTTTGTGGGAATTAATATTAAGGAAAGGGATTCCAGGGAGTACCCTTAATGTATTTCGGGGTAACGTTGCCACCCAGCAGAAACACACCACACCTGACTGGGAGTTTTGCCATCCCTAATTTAAATGTTGTTGTTTACAACAGCTCTGTTGCAGCAACGAAAATTTATGTTTAAACATATTACTTAGTTGTGATTTTGTATTTGTTGCCGTCTTCGATTCGCGCAAGATGATTTGTCGCCTGTGCCTGCGGTGCCTCAGTCCCGGGAGCGCCGTTTTCCTCTTTGAGACGGACGATACGCTGGCGGAGACGCGACTGGTGAAGATGATCGCCAAATTTCTGCAGCTGGAGGTGAGTGCATCCTTGGGGCTTCCCTGTCGACAAATAAAAGCAACTCCCATACCATACAGATCCTGCCCGACGACGGCATCTCGACCAGCGTCTGCACCGAATGCTGCGAGCACCTGGAGGACTTTAACGGCTTCTGGCAGCTGGTGGAGCAGAAGCAGTGCTCGCTGAAGAAGGAGTTCCTCACCGTGGACGTCGATTGCGCGGCCATGAAGTGGACGGGCGGCGTCGACGTGGACGTCAACATCGATGAGCTGCCGCTGGCGACTGGCGACATGGACGAGAAGCCACTGGACCTGCACAACCTGAGCCTGCTGGGCAGCGTGCTGGACGTGAATGTGGACAGTGTGGAGGTCAGGGAGCAGGTCAAGGAACAGATGCCCGGCGAGTCCGAGGAGGAGAACGAGAAGCCCTGCCTGATGGCCAGCGAGGTGCAGCTAGAAGACGACTCCTCGGATGGTGGTTATTCTTAAGTTTCCCCATGGATTCTCCGTTACTAATTCCATGTTCCCTTGAAGATGAACCCCTTGTCCGGCTGCAAACCAAGATGAAGCCCAAGCCCAAGGCCAAGCGCAAGGCCTCAGACCGTTCCTCCACTGGCCAGAGCACCATTTCCCTGCACCGGGAGCTGGCCGATCTGCTCGACGATGGCAGCAAGCGGCGACGCAGAAGGGCACCTGACCAGCGGGCACCCACCGATGTGCAGGAGACCGAGCTGCAGGCCGTACTCGAGCGCAAGCCCAAGGGCTGCTCCCGCGCCCAGCTGGCCAAGAGCTACGAGGAGGCCATCGCCAGCTACATGAGCGCCAGCTGCGACCTGTGCGACTTTAGTGCTCCCTACCTCTCCGAGCTGAAGGCCCACTTCCTGGAGGTGCACCAGCGCGAGTACTACATCAAGTGTTGTGGAAAGATCTTCACGCGCGCTTCCAAGCTTATGGACCACATCCGCAAACATGTCAATCCCAAGCTATTTACGTGAGTGCGCCCCAAGATATAGCCCATATTTTCTGTTTAACAGAATGGTATCCCCATTAGCTGCACCATTTGCCAGAAGTCGCTCAACTCGCAGGACTACCTGGCCACGCACATCGAGACGGTGCACAACAAGGTCGCCCAGATCGACAAGGTGCTCAAGTTCCCCTGTCCCAAGTGCGATCGCACCTTCAGCAGCGAGCGCCGAATGGCCAACCACCTGTCCAAGCACGACACCGATCAGTTGGAGCACACATGCGCGATCTGCTGCAAGAGGTGAGCAGAGTGGAAGGGCTCTGATAAAAGTCTAAGCCCCAAATGAACAAGACCTGGGCAGCCAATATTAAAATCAGCACACATATCAGCTTTGTATTAATTATTGAGAAGTGATTGATTAGTAATCTGTTTAATGATAGTGAATTTAATCATGTTGATCAATATAGTATAGCAAAATTGAAACGACTTAGCGATTAGGTACATAATACTTAGGACTTTATAGATCATGCTACTTCTAATGCTTTCAGTATTAAGGTGTTGAGAAGCTAAGCATCTAAATGTTTTTTATGGCAGTATTGACCACTAAAATTTGTCATAAGACACTTCTGTTTATAAAATGCATTTAAAACCTTGCACATGCACACATAAATGAGCGAGATAGATGTAAAATTTTCCCTATGAGAGGTTTTGAAATGAGTAAATACAAAGCAAACAAATAAATTCAGAAGGTATTAGTAGGAACATCTATAAGTAATTATGAATATTGTAAATCAGCTTCTCATCTGCCATTAGGCGATTAAGGCGAATGTTCACCTTTTGAAGGTTTAGAATAGGGTTCTTTTTGTTCAGCCTTGTAAATATTTTCATAGCTCGAAAGCTACGCACATAAGTCTATGAGAATATGAAGGAATTTACTTTTTTCTATTTTGATTATAATTATTGATATCTTTAATTTTCAACAGCAAATTAATTTTCAACAGCAACAAATCGCTTATAATTAAATACGCTATTGTCCAGTCATTTAATTAGTGCTATAACTTATCGTAGCGAGTATGTAAAGTTACAACTTTTATTAATTTACTCAAATTGCTTATCTGTTACAGCTTTGCGAATATACACAGGCTGCGACGCCACATCCAATCCATCCACGAGGACTTGCATCGCCACGTTTGCGACATCTGCGGCAAGAAGTTCAAGTTCAAACCCTCCTTCGACCGCCATTTGCTAGAGCACCAGGGTGTGGTGGCGCCGGCGGTGGAGTGCCCTGTGTGCGGAGTCTGGCTGAAGAACGAGCACAGCCTGCGCCTCCACCGATTCACGCACGACAGCACGGACACCGTGTGTCCGCACTGCGGCAAGACCTGCACCTCGCGCACAGCGCTCCGGGGTCACGTGAAGTACGCCCACAAGCTGACCACCAATCTGCAATGCACATTCTGCGAGAAGACATTCAAGCAGCAGCGCAACCTGGACGAACACATGGCCATCCATACGGGCTTGCAGCTGTACAACTGCCCGCATTGCCCGAAGGAGTGCCGCTCCCGCTCCAACATGTACGTCCACATCAAACAGCGCCACGCGGACGAGTGGCTGCGCGCCAAGATGGCGCGTTCGCACAATCCCCAGTTCAAGCCGGGATCCACCGATGTTTAATCCTGATCCTGCACAAATATGTCTAACCATTATACTTTTAATTAACTATACCCAAACCGTTTTTTATGTGGACTTTCTAATGGCGAAACTCATATTCTGGATATGTTATTGTGGGGAAAAAACGAGCTACCCCCTTACCAAAAATGAAAAAATTTGCCAAAAAATAAATCTTCCTTAAAGTGATGGGGATCGATAGCAATTGAAGCAAGCTGCTCAAAACTGTCGGTTTTTTAGCTGTACGCCTTGATTTGGATAAACTACGACTGAAAAACCACTAAAAAATGAGTATTTTTGACCAAAATCTGAATCTCAAAAAAAACCGAGCTACCCCTTACCAAAAATGAAAAAATTTGCCAAAAAATAAATCTTCCTTAAAATGATAGGGATCGATAGCAATTGAAGCAAGCTGCTCAAAACTGTCGGTCTTTTAGCTGTACGCCTTGATTTGGATAAACTACGACTGAAAAACCACTACAAAATGAGTATTTTTGACCAAAATCTGAATCTCAAAAAAAACCGAGCTACCCCCTTACAAAAAATGAAAAAATTTGCCAAAAAATAAATCTTCCTTAAAGTGAGGGGATCGATAGCAATTGAAGCAAGCTGCTCAAAACTGTCGGTCCTTTAGCTGTACGCCTTGATTTGACTAAACTACGACTGAAAAACCACTAAAAAATGAGTATTTTTGACCAAAATCTGAATCTCAAAAAAACCGAGCTACCCCCTTACAAAAAATGAAAAAATTTGCCAAAAAATAAATCTTCCTTAAAGTGATGGGGATCGATAGCAATTGAAGCAAGCTGCTCAAAACTGTCGGTCTTTTAGCTGTACGCCTTGATTTGGATAAACTACGACTGAAAAACCACTAAAAAATGAGTATTTTTGACCAAAATCTGAATCCTAAAAGAACCGAGCTACCCCCTTACAAAAAATGAAAAAAAGTGTCAGAAAATAAATCTTCCTTAAAGTGATGGGGATCGATAGCAATTGAAGCAAGCTGCTCAAAACTGTCGGTCTTTTAGCTGTACGCCTTGATTTGGATAAACTACGACTGAAAAACCACTAAAAAATGAGTATTTTTGACCAAAATCTGAATCCCAAAAAAAACCGAGCTACCCCCTTACAAAAAATGAAAAAATTTGCAAAAAAATAAATCTTCCTTAAAGTGATGGGGATCGATAGCAATTGAAGCAAGCTGCTCAAAACTGTCGGTCTTTTAGCTGTACGCCTTGATTTGACTAAACTACGACTGAAAAACCACTAAAAAATGAGTATTTTTGACCAATATCTGAATCTCAAAAAAAACCGAGCTGCCCCCTTAAAAAAAATGAAAAAATTTGCCAAAAAATAAATCTTCTTTAAATTGATGGGGATCGATAGCAATTGAAGCAACCTGCTCAAAACTGCCGGTCTTTTAGCTGTACGCCTTGATTTGGATAAACTACGACTGAAAAACCACTAAAAAATTAGATTTTTTGACCAAAAGCTGAATCCCAAAAAAAACCGAGCTACCCCCTTACAAAAAATGAAAAAATTTGCCAAAAAATAAATCTTCCTTAAAGTGATGGGGATCAATAGCAATTGAAGCAAGCTACTCAAAACTGTCGGTCTTTTAGCTGTACGCCTTGATTTGACTAAACTACGACTGAAAAACCACTAAAAAATGAGTATTTTTGACCAAAATCTGAATCTCAAAAAAAACCGAGCTACCCCCGTACTTTAAATTCTTAATTTCCATAGTTTTTTGGTTTTTCAACCTACGTTTAAATGCACACCATAAAATGAGCATATACAAAGTTATCCACTCGTAACTAAAAATCATTGCACAGTAAAACCCATCGCGGTATGAATTTCAACATCTCGAATTACTTATTAAAGCGGTCAATCTTCCGGATATTATAGCGAATTAATGGTAAACCTTTATTTAACATATATATCAATATCTCTTAAGTCCATCCATATTTGAGGTGCGTATCCCTAACATTAAAGTTTCAAATAACTATTATTTTAAATTTTCTTTGTTAGACTTCTATTCAATATTTTTACTTTTTATGTTTCGTTTTTGTTCTTGTTACTTTTTGGTATCAAGATGTGTTTTAAATCCGTATATCCATACCCATAATAACACTGAAGACAACTAATACAATTTCAATCGGCCCATAAATTCTTTACATTCATATAATATTCGGACGAGGGCTAAGCTGAAGGACCGCCAAATGGGGTTTACCTCGTTTTTACGAGTACTTTATTGAAATCTAAACTGTGGTAATCCTAAAAAGGTTGCAGTCTTGACCTGCTGTAAGTCTAAAATAAATCGAAATGAGTGTTTTTGACAAGTTGTAGTCATAGGCACCGTAGATATTTCTGTTCAATCAATTTGAGTCTTTTGATCTTATCGCACAACATATTTTCAAGGAATTAAAAAAATTTTGTTTCTTCATTTTTAGACCAGAAATAAATGAGCCAGGACTTCCACAAGATGCTGGGCCTCCGTCGCGGAGCCACTGAATATGCGATCCGTAGGGCGTACCGCCCTACAGGGCGATGCCCTGTCGGACAAGAGGAAGCGCGACCTTTTCGACACTCCGGGCGAGATGGGTCTCCAGCGGCGCAGATGGTTCTTCTTATGCTACCAGTACCAAGGTGATCCGTACGCCACCTTCGCCAAGGTCTTCGGCTCCAGAAATGCGCCGTCCGAGACCTCTGCATCAGGATCAGGGAGGGGCCTGCTCCCTAAGAATCCGCCGGTAGAACACGTGCTTCTTATCACTCTGGAGGACATAGCCACGGGGTGCATTAAGATCCTTGAGATCTCGCAACAGAGGATCTCGTCCAGCGGCCAGGCGATACAACATACTAAAATGCTCAATGTAGATTCGTCCGGGCTGGAAGGCGGGTACCAGGATCACCTTCCCCGGCGAGGGCGACGAAGTGCCCAACCGGCGGCCCGGCGACGTGATTTTCCTCCTTAGGGAGAAGCCGCACCCCCTCTTTCGCCGGGAGGGGTGCGACCTGCTCTTCACGGCCAGGATTTCCCTAAGGCAGGCGCTGAGCGGTGTGGACCTGGAAGTACCGACACTCCAGGACGGACCCCTGCGCTTCAGCACCAAAGGGCAGGTGATCAGCGGGGATTCCACTCGCACTTTCCCAGGTATGGGACTGCCACATCAAGCGGATAGCTCGTGCTTCGGCAAACTGGTCGTCGACTTTGACATAGACTTCCCCGAAACAATTTCAGCATTGGAGCCATTATGCTGTAGTTTATGTCGCAATTAAAAGCGTTGTAATACCACTGTATTCCCCGCAAAAAAACGATTTATATACCTCAAAAAATATATGAAAAAAATAAGCAAAACATACTCCTAAATATCTATCTATTACTGGGTAATAGCGTTTCAATTAAAAGCGATTTGTAGCCCCTGTAGAATTCGTAGTTGAAAACAAAAAAAATGAAAAATAAAAAATTTTTAATCCAAATAAAAACAAGTAAATATCTATATATTTCTAATGGTTTTTTTTGGGCTCCTTAGAGCTATGAAAATATTTACAAGGTTGACAAAAAAGGACATTATTTTGAACCTTCAATAGGTAAACATTTCGACCTCGTAGCTTTTTAAATATGGGAGCTATCGCCTAAAAACAGAAAGGCACATTAGATGTACCTACTAAAAACTTCCAAATAAAAATAACTCTAATTTGTAAACAAACAAAACTGTGACACTATTATTTACGGTCCTTGCTGGGAAATGAAAGGTATCCCATGACTATTGATGATTTTACATATATTTTTAGATCCTTTATATTACTTAGTAAAAAGTCCTTGTTCGAGAATACCGTTATTTGCTCTTCCATTCGATATTTACCGCCATCATCTCTATGGCGGCTCATCTCTATGACAATCGATAGACAGTCTTCAGTTGGATGGTCACCCCACCAATCGCAGAGGCAATCGACTGTCGCTCATCGCTGGCGGCATCGAACGGTCACACTATTTGCGAAAATAATCCACAAATCCAAATCAAACTAAAGGAACGATCCAATTGTCAACTCAACTGGATTCTAGTGTTAAAAGGCGTAGTTGTGATAGAAAGCAGTAGCGCAGCTAGTGTAGGTAAGTGATTTGATTTCGCCCCAGTGGGCAGTGGTGAAAACGGAAAAGTGCGAGTATACAGCTGGGGCCGGTTCCAGGGAAATTGGCAAGGCGTCGCATATATAATTTTTTTTTCTTTTTTTGGCCGTCTGGCGCAGACAGCTACAACAACTACAACCACAACGATGGCCTGGCAACAAGAGTTGCAGCCGCTAATACACAAACATACACACCCAGAGGCGCAGAGAGCAGCTTTTGCGAATTTAAGCAAATTTGCATGGGTGTGTGTGTGCAGCATAACTAGTTTTCTCCTGGGCTGCGAATCCTCCACCAAAAGAGCGGGAGGGAAAGAGAGAGACAGCTGGCAGATGCAAGATGCTTGATGTCCGTATTTCGCGCATACCTGCACACAATTGCAGCAGTTACTCTCTTTCGGTCTCTCGGTTTTTTGTGTGTCTACCTCGAGGAGGAAAATTTTCCTCACTTGCCGGCCGGTTTTCTGATCTCTCTTTTTGCTCCGCTTTTCCCCCACACGCCGCTTTCCCCCCCGCAAGCAGTTTTCCACCCCCCTGCTCAGCGATCGCCTAAATGGTCACCATGGAGAACAGCGACGAAATCCTGCAGATCCTGGAGCGCTTCACGCGGCTCAAGCAAAAGGAGATACCCAAGGAGCTGGAGGACTATCTGCAGTATGTGGCCAAAACCGGGGACACCATCTTCAAGTGGTCCAGCCTGAAGTATCTGTTCCGCGAGAAGCTGCTCAACGTGATCAAGCACTTCAACGAGGACTCGCCGCGGCTGGAGGGTGAGTTCCTGGTCCTGAAGCTGGCATTTCCACATGTCCTCTCGTGGCTAGACATTGTATTTCTTAGTTTGTTGTGTGAAACTTATAAATCTCGTGTTTTTCCAGGATCATTATAATGTTTTAAGCTACTTGGGTGAAGTAATTACCATCGTGTCTTATTCAGAGTTCGCATGTTATATGGAGTCTAGGAATAAAAAATATTAAGAATACTTGCAAGAACTTTAAGGATTCCCTAGTCTTTCCTTGTCATGCAGGATAAATGTATAAAAAAGTATCCTAATAAAAATCGAATATGAGTTATAAACCTCTTAAAAATTTTAATTCGCAAGTTAAACTAAAAGTAGACTTTAAGTAGAACATTCAATTTTTTTTTTTACTAGGCCTACAACATTGTAACATTGATATTAATCCTTTTCAGAGATCCCTAACTACCCGAATGTGGATCCATTCAACTATGAGACCATGAAGTCCTCGCTGCTCGAGCGCCTGGACCTCTTCAATGCAGCTCCTTTCACCATACAGCGCTTGTGCGAGCTGCTGATCGATCCCCGCAAGCAGTACTCGCGCATCGACAAGTTTATGCGAGCTCTGGAGAAGAATATTCTGGGTAAGACCTATACTTGACCCCCTATAGTAACGAGCAAGGATCACCCATGATATAATCTATCGCTTCATAGTGGTCAGCACCATTGATCCGGGACGCAAGCGCACCGAGAGCGAGAATGGCGATTCGCTGGACTCCGTGGTAAACGGAGACCTCTCTCTGGAGGTCAACATCGACATCGAGATGGAGAACGAGGCCCTGTTCAACAATGGCAACGCCGAGGAGGGCTCAGCGCCTAGCTCCGGTTCGGCAAGCGGTGCTCAGAAGGTAAGCTGTCCGCGATCGGACGACAATGAACAGCCCAAGGCCAAGAAGGCCAAGCTGGAGATCGGCGGCGAGGAGCCCTCGGAGGCCACCGATGAAGTGCCCGCCGAACCGGAAGAAGAAGTGGCCTCCAAGGCTAAGAAGGACAAGGAAGAGAAGGGCGACAACGATGAGACTGATTCTCCACAAGAGGCCGCAGAGATCGAGGAGCCCGACGAGGAGGTGGAGGAACCCGAGCCAGAGGCCAAGACCACCAAGCAGGCTGTAAACGGCAGCAAGAAGGAGAGCGAGCAGGGGGAGAGCTCCCCAGCATCCGCCGATGAGGAGGCGGAGGACCCAATGCTGAGTAAATCACCAGATGCCGAAAAAAAACCAGCTTCTAAGGAGAAGGAAGAGTTGGACAAAAAGGAGACGGCCGGGACACCAGAAGAGAACGTAAAGAAGACAGAGGCCGAAAAGACCGACAAGTCGGACGATAAAGTAGAACAGCCAGACGATAAGCAGACTGGCGACAAGGCCACACCACCAGCTGAGGCTGAAAAAGAGGAGCCTGCCAAAGCAAAGGCAGAAAAGGAGAAGGAGGAGGAGGAAAAACCTGCTCCGGTTGCAGCCGATAAGAAGGAGGAGAAGAAAGTGGCTGAGACTGAGGCTGCACCAGCAGATAAGCCCGCTGAGGAGAAGGCAGCTCCCGCCGAATCGAAACCGAAGACCAAGTCTGAGGCCAAGCCAGAGGCCGAGACCAAGGAGAGCCAACCTGAAAAGACTGAAACCAAGCCGGCCAAGGAGCTGTTGTCGGAGGAAAAGGAGTCTGCCGAGCCGGCAGCAGAAGCCAAGGAGAAGAAAGAGGTCGAGACTACGGCTGAAGCAGTCAAGGAAACAGTTGAAGAGTCACAGGATGGGGAAGCTTCCAGTCCCGCTGTCGAAGAACTGGCCGCCGCCACCACACCACAATCTCCACTCGGTGCTGCCGACTCGGCTGCCGAGACGCCGCCCGCCGACCCGGCTGCCGATGATTCGCAGGCTTCGCCCTTGGCCGCCGTTACTCCGCCAACTCTGGCCCTCAATGACCAGCCCATGGAGGACACCCCGGCCGAAGAGGAGGCAAGAGTCTCGCCCTTGGCCGCCGTTGACGAGGTAATGGCCGAAAGTGGCCCCGCCGCCGAAATGGCCACCGAAGAGGCTGCTGCCAAGGATGAACCGGCCGCCATGGAGGTCGATGACACCAGCCAGGAGGTGATGGACCAGTAAAGCCGGCCCACCCAAGCGCCGATTACAACTACATTCAACTACTACTCCATATAATTAGAATTTTAAGACAAGCGCCCCATTCCGAAAGTAATGCAGATGTAATCCTGCCCGCGCTGTTGCCTAGAGAAGAATTACGGATTCGTGTGATCCCCGTGAAACAGGCGGGTTGGCAGCTCCCCTTTTGTAGCCGTAAGTCGCAGCCGAGACAAGCTCATGCTCTAGAATCTGTTGCTGTTTTCGTTCCCCCAGTTTGTGTCTCTATATGTTGGTTCCTCCTCTAGTGTTGTATTTATATATTTTAGACTAACCCCTGACCAATTTTAGTGGTTCTGCTCCCAACCCCGCCCCGTATGTCCTGTTTTTTTTATAAATCTAGTAGTAGATGCTGTCCCAGAAGCGAGCTTCGGTTAGATGTGAGCGATTAAACACACAATAAACACTATCCATATAAATACGTCGCTGGTGTTATCCTTCAGAGTGGTCATCCAGGCCTAGGTTGATATAATATCTCATAGTTTCTGCAAAGGACGAAATAAAAGGGGAGAAGCTTTTCACCACTTAGCATGTTGCCAAAGGTTAAATCCATTTTTTATTTTAGGAAAACCTCATTGCGAACGCGATTATATTTAATTTGCCAAACTTTAATAGGATATGATGGTGTAATTTAGAACAGGGCACACCTATAAGATTAAAAGGAAATTGTGGGAATATTTTAAGGGTTTTTTCGGTCAAATTATGGTTTAGTATTTGCAGCAATCCGTTCCTATATTTCTTTATGAGCATACTTTGTTTATATTTTAAAACCTATTTAGTTGAAACTATTAATGAAATCTAAAGCGGATGAGAATATTGTGTTTTTAAGAACGAATTGGTATTATTGTTTACAAAGATTACTCACTGTAACTAAGATAACCGAGCGAAACTGATAGTTTATAATCATTGTTGGATTGGATTGAATGGTATTACTTTGTTATTATCATAGTAACCTCTGATAAGGATCGCTTTTCTACAGTTCTAAAAAACAAATTTATGGAATATCAATTCCTTGTAGTTAAGTCTTCTGTTGCTAACTCAATTAATGGGGCTTGATAAGGTCGTTAGACTACCTACATGTTGTATGTACATAGCTGTGACACTTAACAACTGCAATCTTCGATATCGGCGAATATAATCGTTAAATGCTCCGCAAGCCACTCGAATCCTTCTTTCGCCCAGTGAAAGCCAGCCGAGTTTCTTTGGTATAGATTGTGTAAGTGTGGATAACAACAGGCAAACAAACAAACAAACAGAAAACAGAGAAAATGGCGCGCAAGGCGAGCAAACAAACAGGTCGTAATCACTTAGCAAACTAGTTCAAATTGGATTTGATGACGTGTGAAGAAGCCAATGGGAATCCCGGCGAGCGGCAAGGCGGCGACTGGCGGTCGGCGATCGGTGGTGGCCAGGTGGCTGTCGGATTCCTCGGATCCTCCTCGAAACGCGTGGATCCGCCACCATTTCCGCTACCGCTAATGTTCTCATTTCCGTTTCCGCTGCCGCTCCCGTTTCCGATTCCGCTTGTGCGATTCCTAATCCGATATCGATTTCGTGTCTCTGTGTCCGCTCCAAATCCGATACCGGATCGGTCGACGCTCCGATCGCGCTCCCGGCAAATATGGTTATGGATATGGCCCAGGAGGACGGAGTGGGCCGGGCCGGAATGCGGCTAGCCCAGCAGCACCTTGCGCATCATGAAGCCGCTGCTGGCGCTGGCAGCCGGCACGGATGATCCCCGCGCCGCCGGCTGCTCCGGCTCGATGCACTTGGAGGAGCAGAGGTACTGCAGCAACGGCACCCTATACTTTCCGCAAAAGTCCACGAACTTGATGTGCTCCACCCGATTGTCGAAGAAGACGCCCTTGCAGTTGGGATTCACACAGCAATTGGCGCTGTTCAAGTACTCAGCCAGTGTCCTGGGGATGTCATAGGGTCCGGGTCGCTGGCCGCTGGCCTTCACTATACGGCCGGCCAGCTCCAAAAGGGTGGGCGGCTTCAGGGCCATGTCCTGCACGAAGCGCACCACCAGCGGATTGTCACGCAGACTCAGCTGTGAATGGGGAAGAGACGAAGGAGCACAGGATCAGTAAGGTACATAGTGACCAGGAATTATTTAAATTATTGGAAATGAAATGGTTAAACTAGGTAAAGAGTGACTAATATGGGTATCTCCATGTAAGTTATCAGTTTACCGATTAGAGGTACGTATGTATGTATGAATGTAAAATATTAAACATGAGACAATATTAATAATCACTTTAATATTGTTCTAGAGAAACGGTTGTCTTACCTCTGTCAAGTTCTTAAGTGCCACAATGTCCTTGGGAAGATGTCGCAGGCGGTTCTTGTGGAGCAACAGCGACTTGAGGTTCTTCAGTCGGGCGATGCTCGTCGGCAGGATCTCGATCAGGTTGTCGCAGAGGACGAGGGCCTGCAGTTGGTTTAGGGAGCCCACTGCCTCGGGCACTTCGCTGATCAGATTGCCACCCAGGGACAACACATGCAGGCTGCAAACGATTAAATGGATCCATTGATGTATTTGTTATAAACTATTGGAACTAAAGTTGCAGGTAAAACTATGATTTAAAAGGGGGCATTTGATATAAAAGACTGAGATTGTATTCAACAAATCATGAGATGTCTAGATAAACAATCCGTAATGTTATAATCTACAAATCAATTAATATTTTTGTATATGCCTTAAAATGCATATTAAAATATTTTCATTGAAGGGTATTATATGAACTATTAACTTTGTTTTTTTTATATAAATTGTTTAGCTATACATATGTAAAAAACTGAGCTGTAAAAAAGCCATGTGGGCAGCTCTAGAAGAAAATAAGTGTCTACGTAGAGAAAATATTTAAATTAACTTGATTTGAGATATGGTTTCACCAATACATACATTAGAACCCAAAGTTCAACTCATTTGCAAAGCACGAAATTGATTGACTTTGGCCTTGGGCATAGCCAAATAATAAATGCAATTTTATTAAATCTAAAATTGATTTGTTTTTTTGATTACTTTTAAAACTAAAGTAGGACTTATAGAAGACACAAGCAATTTTAGTGTCAAGCCGTCTAATTGCTTTTTGCAAGTGATGATCAAATATTTTGTTAGACTTAAAGTTTGAGTGAAATGCTTTAACCTATTCTAACGATATCAAGTAAAACATTTACAAATTGGTGTTTTAATAAATAGCAAATATATTACTTATAGCTTGGTGTGCATCACTCTAAGAAATAAATGTTTAAATTTATTTCTTTTGCCATACACATAAATTTTTTTTAAAAACATTTTCTTGTGGCATTGTTTTTGTTACATTTCCCCTTACTACAGTGTATATATTTCCTCCTAGTGAATCACTAAGCTTATGTCATGGTATATGGCGCACACTGTACAGTGCATACCCCCTACGCCCTCTGGCCCTAGGGTCCTCTCCAAATTCCAGGGGTCTTAGGTGCGAAACAATCAATTCCCCCCGTAGACGTTGCAAAGTCCAGGCCCTCTGATAACTAATGCCAATTTAAATTTATATACTCGGTATTTGTAGAACTCTTGGGCATATTGGACTATAACCACATGGTCAGAAGCTTATCACAGTATTTCAGTAACTTTAAAATCAAAATCCATACAGATTTCGATAACAATTTACGTAAACATGAAAATATTATGATCATAAAATGTAATCCAATAAAAAAAAGGTGCTACTTATGTATATAGGGTATCAAATTGTTGGGACCCGCCAGCTAAAGAGTTATTTATTGTTTAATTTGTTTTTCAACTGATATTTGAAGTTTTGTTGTGCCAATTTTTTTATTTGTGCCATTTTTGCTCTTGTTTATTATTATATTAATACACGGCCGTATCTTTATGGGCCGACCAAATCGGTTGGGTCGATTCGAGTACTTGTTTTTGATAGATTTGGCTTTTACGACGCCATCACCACCACCCGACCGAGCTGCCGACCCACCGATCTACCGCACCACCGACCAACCAACCCACCCATCCATCCCCTTCCACCGAACCGATCCATCGAACCGCTCAACCGCCGGACAAGTGGCAGACTGGCGTTATCAGCTGGCCCGGCTATATAGCTATATATTACGATCTCGTCTGTGCTTGGACTTTTATACATGGCAACAGCAACAGTGCTCGCCAGTCGTCGCCCCTTCTCCACGAGTGGCCAATGTCAATCCGACGGAGGAGTGCGGGGAGTACACTCGCAAAAAGGGGAAATTCCGCATCCTTTGCGACAGCAGATTAAGGGATTAACCCCCAAAAATATTAGATAGAACGACCCTTTGGTATTGCTCATAATGCAAAAGTACCAGGTAAAAGGAATCAAAAATATTTTGAATGACTCAATGTGATACAAATATTGTAATCATTGCAAAAAATGGGATTGTAAAACATTATATACCCAAATCTTAGAGATCGAATGATCGAATGATCGGAGTTTGAAAATTGGATTATAAATATATATTAGACATTCTGGTGAAAGACTTCCATATACGGTGAAACTTAACCCCTCATTAAGATGGCGCTGCCGATGGAAATCTAATTGAAAAGCTCTCATAAATCTAACAATTTGCTTATTTTGCGTTATCTATACTATTAATTTTGTTCAGACTTATCGCCCTTTAGTGTGTTTTGACCATTGTTTGTCAGTCTAAGTTTCATTTATGACCTTCACGGACCTTAAGTCAAATTTGGCGAAATATCGAGAATAATTTATGCCACTAGTTTTTACAGATTTTAGTGTTAGAAATAATCAAATACCTTATAGAGATGTTTACCATCACTACAAAACTTGAAAATACGATTTTTTAGGGAGAACTTTTTAAACATTGACCCTGAAATTTAACATTTTATAGTTCTCTGTGTACCAATATAGATACATAAATGTTCCCACGTTACTGGCCTTAGAAACCAATATACCTTATAACAATGAAATGTTTTTTTTTTTAACAAAACAGAAGAAAACACCTGATCAAACAGGCGGAAGAGACTTGAACCTACCTTTGCATCTTCCAGATATCCTTGGAGATGCTGGAGATCTTGTTGGCGCCCAGATAGAGGTACTTGAGGTGGCGCAGTTCGGTGACCTGTTCGGGGAAGTGGGTCAGCTGGTTGCCGCTCAGATTGAGTTCCTTGAGCGTGGAGGTGGCGCCACCATTGGCATTGGCCTGTTTGGAGAGCAGCGATTTGGGCAGCGAGGCGTTGGTCAGCAGGTTGTTCTTGGCAATCAGGGTGACCAGTGGCAGCTGGCACACGGCATCCGGCAGCGTGGTGATGGCATTGGAGCTAAGATCCAGGACCTTCAGGTTGGCGAACTGCATCAGGAGGCGGGGCAGGCCAACCAGCCGGTTGTGGTTGAGCAGCATGGTCTCGATATCGCCACTGGACTTCAGCAG